TAAAAATAATTTTTGCTTTTAATAATAATAGTTTTTAATTACTAAACATTTATTTTCTGTAATAGAAATTCAAACTATTAATACGTAGGTATATTTTCCATCATAACAATTCGCTTTTTAAGAGTCCAATAAAAAACATCTTTTAGAAAATAACGATCGGTCTCGATCGATAACCTTTTTCGTTTGTGTTCGAGAAAATTATCACGTATTCGGCGTACTCCGTTCAGTCCGTTCTCGGTATATCGGCAAGCAGAGACATCACATACTTTGATTTTCTTTTACTATACGGAGAATGGTCGCAATGCGCAGCTTTCTGAGTGCCTTTTAAAAGGAGATAGAAAACTCCGCCATTTTGATCTCTTATTAGTTACGTGTTGCTAACATCTTGGCGCAATATTTTTAATAGGTGCGTTTTAATCATCCGCTTCTGCTTCAGAATTGTCGGTTTTCTTGTTTTAATCTGACAGGTTAAAACGACTAAACCGACAATTCCGGAAGCAGAAGCGGATGATTAAAATGCACCTGATATTTTGCTTGCTGCTGTCAGTGTCAGTGAATATTATTTTTGGAGTCACAGTTTATTGCTAAAGAATCAGTTAGCTCACTCGGACCAGTTGAAAGATCCAAAATAACATCCACTTCAGGGATACAAATTCAGAATACGCAGAAGACTGCTGTTTTATTATAGGCGGTTGTCATATATTGTATTATCCGAGTTGCGCAGTGTATAAACTGGAACATTGAGATCAAAAGTGTTGACGCAGAGTTAGCGATCTGATTCTTTAGCTATAAACTGTGGCATAGGAATCAAAATGGCCGCGCCCTATGTTAAGCGTATCGGACCTCTCTCTTGCACCGTTTAGTAATCAAAGTATGTGAGAGACATGCACAAGCAGTGATTTGTGATTTGATTTAGTTTTAATTAAGTACCTAGTCACTAGCCAAGATCCATCCCGTTAAGACGACACGTCGTAGGTCTGACGCCATTTTTGCAATTGTGCATAAGTTATTGTGTTCGTTTTCCAATAGATTATACAGACAAGCTCAATAATTAGGGTCTTCAAGATTTTGTTAAACATTTTAAGGGTAAGTACATAACGTATAATATAAAAGTATTGTATACCTACATAATTCATCGGTTTCAAATGTATTGACCCCTCACTTTAACGTTAATTAAGGAAAAAAATAGTAAGTTAAGCGAAAAATCTTGTAAAGTTTTTTCATTAGGATATCAGAAATTCCTTTCTCTATTTTGATGGAACTTGGCAAGGCTATTTTGAGTACTGAGGGTTAAATGTTTAATATTAAAATTATTTGTTCCAGTGGGGTTAACAGATATTTCTAAGAAAACACATGTATGGCAGTGTTTTTTGATATTTTTATTAAATTAAGAAATAGGTAACAAGAATGTTTCGTAATTTACTTTTTTTGTACCACTTTTGGGCAAATTAAACATGCACATCTGTATAGCGTTTAGGTATACATGAAATAACCTAGAATAAGAAATAAGATTTAGCAGAGAAGATGGCAAATTTTTATCTTTTTAGATATCTTATTTTATTTCATTTTGTTTTGAAATTGATAATGCGCATGCCCCAAATGTTTTCTGTTTGAAATATTTCGGCTTAAGTTTTTTTAATGAATTTTGACTGTTTTACAAAGGATTCGGGAGACTGATTAATTTTTTGTTGCATTTAACAGTATAACCTTAGCTTTTACAGACCTTAAAACCCTAAAACAATTTTTTTTTTAAAATACCTAACATTAATTTTTATCTAAATTCTTAACTTACTGAGCTAGGGTAGGGAGTTTCTAGGATCCACGACTGGCACTCAAGTTTATTAAAATTCAAAATTTGCGTTTCTGAGATAGTATAAATAAAAGAGAATTTTTTTCTTCTAGATATTAAGGAAGAATCGTTTGGAATGGCCCACCTAGTACACTGAGAGAATTATATTTAAAAAGTTTTTTGTTGAGAAATTTCTTGCTACCACAAATAAATTTTCAGCTACAATTAAAAAAATACAATCATGCAACTAAATATAATGCTTTTTAAAGTAGTTTTGTCGCCATACAAAAAAAATTGTTACCCTTGCAAATATTTTTTTTCAGTCTATAGAACCAGCAAAAATAATTTTTGCTTTTAAAAATAGTTTTTAATTACTAAACATTTATTTTCTGTAGTAGAAATTCAAAATATTTTTTCGTCTATGCTCGAGAAAATTTTTGTGTATTCGGCGTACTCCGTTCAGTCCGTTCCCGGTATATCGGCAGACATAGACAAGAACAAGTGAATGATTTGTGATTTTAGTTATAATTACCCTAGCCGCCAGCAAAGGTCATCCACGTTACGTTGGCAAATCGTAGGTCTGACGCCATTTTGGCAATAATTGTGCATAAGTTGTGTTCGTTTTCCAATGGATTACACAGAGAAGCTGACTAATTGGGAACTTCAAGATTTTGTTGAAAATTTTAACGTATAATATAAAAGTATTTTATATCTACTAATTTATCGGTTTCAAATGTATTGACCCTTTACTTTAACGTTAATTAAGGAAAAAACAGTAGATGAAGCGAAAAATCTTGCAAAGTTTTTTCATTAAGATATCAGAAATTCCTTTTTCTATTTTGACGGAACTTGGCAAGGCTATTTTGAGTACTGAGGGTTAAATTTATTTGTGATGTTAACAGATATTTCTAACAAAACACATGTATGGCAGTGTTTTTTGATATTTTTATTAAATTAAGAAATAGAAAACCAAAATGTTTTTTAATTGTTTTTTTTGTGTACCACTTTTTGGAAAATTAAACATGCACATCTGTATAGCGTTTAGGTATACATGAAATAACCTAGAATAAGAAATAAGAATTAGTAGAAAAGATGGCAAACTTTTATCTTTTTAGGTATACCTTATTTTATTTAATTTTGTTTGGAAATTGATAATGCGCATGCCCCAAATGTTTTCTGTTTTAAATCCGGCTTAAGTTTTTTTAATGAATTTTGACAGTTTTACAAAGGATTCTGGAGACTGAATCATTTTTTGCAACAATTAAAACTGCCTGTTCAAGGTAACAAAATACTTTTTAACTGCAAGAAAAATACTGTTTAACCACTAAAAAACTACTTTTTTGTAAGTAAAATTTTACTTTTTAACCATTAAAATTAATAAAAACTAAAAAGTACGTGTTTAGGGACTAAAAAGTAAGTTTTTTTAATGAATTTTGACAGTTTTATAAAGGATTCGGGAGACTGATTCATTTTTGTTGCATTTAACAGTATAACCTTAGCTTTTATAGACCTTAAAAACCTAAATTTAAACATTTCTCAAAAATACCTGACATTAATTTTTATCTAAATTCTTAACTTACTCAGCTAGGGGAGGGGGTTTCTAGGATCCACGACTGGTGCTCGAGTTTATTAAAATTCGAAATTTGCGTTTCTAAGATAGTATTAATAAAATATATTTTTTTTCTAAATATTAAGGAAGGATCGTTTGGAATGGCCCACCTGGTAGATAGAAGAATGTTATGTTTTTATGTTCCTATCTATTTTAGTTAATAATCCTAATGACATGGATTTTCTTATTCTATTCTATATTATAATAAACAGAAAACAATATATTTAGAATAAAATTTCTTTTGGGATTTTTCACAAAGAATAAATAGCGGATTAATTTAAAGCTACTAACTGCTCATTTGAAATTTCTTGATACATATGCCTTACGTTATTATACGTCTAAAGAGAAATAAGTTTAAGTTATCAAATAACAATTTTATATTACGTAACCTACTGAATTTTTAAAATTCAAATACATTTTTGAAATATTTATCAATATAACTAATATATTTATTATAAAATAATCGTCTCTTTTATTTTTGAAACCCTTCCTTTCCTATGCTGATCTGTATTTTCACCACAGTTTAAATAAAAATTTATGTAAATTATATAGGTAGGTATATATTAGGTAAATTTTGCTTTAATAATTATATATAGTTTGTAATGCACGGCTAAAAAGTTAATTTTTCTATTTTTATAGAACTGGTTTCATTATGAACAAATATAAAGTTCAGTTATCCTCGGTAAATCTGGAAATTTGACATTTAATACATGCAAAACATTCTTGTATATCGACTTTAACTGAACTTTATTTTTTTATAGAAAAAATGCTTTTAGAGCTGAAGAAACCAGCCCTAAACAGCAAATACTTTTTAAAGGTAAAAATTAACTGAACAATCATTAAAATATACTTTTTAAAGGTAAAAGGTTACTTTTAAACCACTACACACTACTTTTTAACCACTAAAAACAATTTTTTAAAGGTAAAAACTACCTTTTAAAGGTAAAAAAATATTTTTTTATTTCAAAGAAAGTAATTTCTTAATCAGTACCTAATTTTTAACCAATAAAAACTACTTTTAATTACTAAAAACTATTTTTTAACTATAAAAGTCTAATTTTTAACCATTAAAATCTATTTTTAAAAGATAAAAAATAATTTTTTAACAATTAAAACTACCTGTTCAAGGTAACAAGATACTTTTTAACTGCAAGAAAAATACTTTTTAACCACTACAAACCTACTTTTTAACCATAAAAAACTACTGTTTAGTTAGTAAAATTTTACTTTATAATCACTAAAATTAATAAAAACTAAAAAGTAAGTTATTAGGGACTAAAAAGTAATTCCAAAAAAGTGAATTTATTAACCGTAGCAAAGTACTTTGGCTGTCGCCTATTTTAATAGAGTTTTTTTAAGGGTTAATACATTTTTTGCTACCATAGCAAAAAATTTCCCTCAGTGTATAAACAAATAAAAAAAGTACACTGTATAAAACTTTTCTTCTATATACGAGTATTCTATCATTTACTAAATCAATATTAACTATTCTTCTCATAACTGTGCATTTATATGACCCTCTGTGTAAATAAACTTGTATACGTAAGTAGGTTTTAAAACTACTACCTACTATGTTCTTTAAGAATTGAGAAAAGCACTCACCTCGACACTTGATACAAGCGGAACGATGCCATGATCTTGAGCAAAAACCGTAATCCAATAATGGCTTTTGGTCTCGATATCCAATACAGCCAAAGTCCTTATTGAACCTGAAAACAAATAAAAATAGTTTAGCGTTTACAGAAAAAAAAATTAGAACGATGTTTAATTGTATTATTGCAGAAAATACACTGTGAAAAGTGATTTTAAAATGTATTTCTAACTCTATCATAAGTAAACATTGATTGTGTTTTTTAATGAAAATTCAGATAAATATTTATTGAAATAATATAGTGAAAAATCGGTTTTAAAGTTCCGAAAATTTATCGGTTACAGATGCGAAAACAAAGGTGTATAAATCATGTGCAAGTCCCCAAATAAATTACAAAATAAGAAATTGGAACCACAAAAATTTTAAAAATATGTCGACGAAGGAATTCGAAACCTATTCATATTCTACGCACACTGCATTAACCATTCATCCACCGGGACATAAATCTCCCAAATCCGAATTGTTAATTTAAAAATTCCACACCAGTACTTTCTAACCAATGTATTTTATCGGAAATTTTTTTGTTGTCAGTACCCACTAGCAAATTATAGTGGAATTTTTTTGACATAAGTAATCACAGAATCATTATTTTTTTACTTAAAGTTAGTTTCATTTTCTTTATTTAAACAAGTTTACATTTCGCAAAAACGCAGTTAAACAAAATTAGGTCTAAAATTTTTATTAACTAAAGTTTTTTTAGATTTTTCCTCACTCGATACCTTTTTGCCAGACTAACGTAAGCAACATTTGGTCAATTTTACAGAAAACGATTTTTTATGTGAAATTTGAAACACGTCAATTTTAAGACCAACTAAAACGAATAAATACATAAATTACTATGTGTTTAAACGTTTTGGTAGTTTTTATGTTACTTACGTTATTTTAGCAAGATAATTCAATACGTTATTATTCAGATGTTATATCTTAAATCAGGATATTTTTGCGTACCTAATTCTGCGTGCATTTGTACCTACCATGTTTTGGTAAGTGGCATTTTTTTTTTGATAAAAAAGAAAAAACAAAAGTAATACATTTTAAGGATTTTTAGATTTATTTTTAATTTACAATAGGAAATAAAACTTAACACAATTTAACTTGTAAACAGTAACCTAAACTTATTCACTGTTTATATTTAAACTAATGAACAATAAGAGAAAACGAAAGTTTTAAAAAGCAATTAATATTATTGCAATAAATAATTAAAAAAATTTAACTTTAATTGTAATAAAAAATAAAACTAACATTCGTCTTCTTTTTCGTCTTCTTCTTCTTCTTCTTCTTCTTATTCTTCTTATTCTTCTTATTCTTCTTCTTCTTCTTCTTCTTCTTCTTCTTCTTCTTCTTCTTCTTCTTCTTCTTCTTCTTCTTCTTCTTCTTCTTCTTCTTCTTCTTCTTCTTCTTCTTCTTCTTCTTCTTCTTCTTCTTCTTCTTCTTCTTCTTCTTCTTCTTCTTCTTCGTCGTCTTGTTCGTCGTCTTCGTAGTATTCTTCGTTGACTTTTTTGTCGTCTTCTTCGTCGTGTTCTTTGTTTTCTTCGTCGTGTTCTTCGTCGCCTTTTTCATCGGTTTTTGCTAAATTATCTCTAATTGAGTTTTCATATTGAAATTGCATGTATTTATCTTGATAAGGTGAATCTAAATCTCGTTTCTTAGGTACACAAATATATAGACGACCATACGTTTGTTCTGTTTTAAACTACAAGTTACAAAAAATGTATAATGCATATTAGAACAAATTTTGTACAAACAAAAATATCAATACCATAAACTGGGGGTACTTTGCGCCAGGGGCGGCTGGTGACCAAAATTTTGGGGGTTCACAGTAGCAGTATATAGATCCCGGTATAGATATAGGTAAAAACCTGTCAGTGTTTTAGAAAAGTGTATTATAAACTTTCTAAAATAGTGAAAGTTTTTTCATACATCTGTACTGATACATATATTCTGTCACTGTGAACCACCCTACGAGCCGCCACTGCTTTGCGCCATTGATGAAAAGTGTTTAATTTAACATTAAAGCTTAGACAAGATGTTTTAGAAGTCCGTCTATACAGCTGTGTTTTAAGTGTTGTCTATGCAGTTCCAATAAAGGTGCAAATTATTGTTCTACGTGCAGTCTTGTACAAACAATCGGATGATAAACAGGTGTGCCCAAAATTTATTAATTTTTAACCTTAAAAATTTGGTGTGTGCAGCAATTTCTGTTAATCTCTACCTATTTAGTAAGTATACACTAGTTATTATTTTATTTTATTAACGCGTTTTGTATGAAATTATCCTTCATAATTAATTTGAAAGGATCATGGAACTTGTGTTGGAAAAATTGTACAATAGGTCACTAACAAGGAGCCAATAACACATTTGCCGTTTCAGCTAGTATCCCCAAATTTTCTGGGCTTATACTAAAGTCACAAAATGATTCAATGGTCTTTCTATGACTATCAGTTATTCTGTCCTAAAATTTTTTGGTATGCTACAACAAAACATACAAATTATTTGATTTTGTAAATACACAAATATTTGTGAAAACTTACACATGAAATGTTATTCCTTCCTTGTATCTTCTACCGTTAGATGCATTGTTACATTCACGTACAAAGCAACAAGAGATTTTTAAAATCCTGTAAAAATTTAACACCAAACCACAAATGTTTTTTATTAAAATAAAACACTAAACGACTAAACTAAAAAATAATGTTTTAAATAAAACCTTTACTAGAAGAACAAAATAAACAACACAACAGATAATAAAATCGATTATATACGTCGAATGCCGATCTTACGCTTATTACTAAACTTGCGCCGTTTCTGTTCTGTCAGTAGTGCCAACTTAAAATTTATTGACATTTATTTATCATGGCGCCCATCATATGGGGGGTCAAAATGTTTTTACGATGCGGTATCTAGACCTTCTGAGGGCTATGGGAATTTAACCTAAATTATTATCCGGAAATTTTTTAGGTACTAGTGGTAATAAGTGAATATAAGATTTTGAATAAAAACTCAATGACAAACAAATTTGCAATTTTTCATCAAACTACTAATTTGCGTCGTTTAAAAAAACATGCTATCTGCATGCAGATACCAATTTTTCACTATATAGCCGACGAAAACCTATGGAAGTGTTTTCATGCAGATTAGTAATTTGTTGAAAAATTGGAAATTTTTTATCAGCGAGTTTACATTTGAAATCTTATATTCAAATTAACAATTCGGAGATTTATGCCCTGATGGCTGAATAGTTAAAGTAGTGTGGATAGATTACGAACAAGTGGGCTAGAATCCCCCCGTTAGCATCATTAAATAAAATTTTATTACTTTGGGGGTTCAAAAATATTTTTCATTATTTCGTAAGGATCATTTTGTAATTTGTTTGAAGACTTCCAAAGTATTAACATGTATTAAAGAAAAATATCAGTATTAACATAGTAAAATAGGTATTTAAAATTTACCTTCCACTGAAAGCAGAATTTTGCATTCGAAATATTTATGTGATGAACATAAAGGAAAAACTTCGAAGCTTAGAGAACACTATATGTACCGTAATATTAGTATTCTTGATCCATGTGTTAATATAAAAAGAAAAGGTGCGTATACATTTTGTGATTAAAAATTAATCAGTCTCATTTTCTAAAAAGGATGAAGATCTTTTAATATTTTAGATTAATGCTTTGATAAAAATCAAGTAACTTAATTCCATACATAAATAGAATAGTTTTTGTATTTACGAATAATCTTCAACAGTAACAAAACACAAGACCTTTCAGGGTGTCCCATTTAATATGAAATAATTGGAAAATTAGGTTGTCACTTTTTCAGATAATATACCAAATCTCAGATTGTTAACTTGCTTACAAAAAATAATTTATTATTTATATCAAAAGTTAATAAAAAAAAGTTTGCTGCCACCTTCTTGAAATTTCGCCGCCAGATCTATTGCAGCAAACGATTTTCATTAATAATATATATATTATTCTACCCAACAAACAATAAATTGCCGGGATATTGCTGGCCTTTTGCTATAATTGAAGGGAAAATTAATGCGACGATTAAAAGATAAAAGCCTACTTTTGGCCTTTCGATAATGGCCCAATATTATATTGCTTGATGATGGCCTTATGAAGGGAAAGTAACTGTATTGAGTAAAAGCATAGTATAAGTCAAAAGGCTTTTAACTGCCGCAGACCCAACTCCAACAGTCCAGGAGGGTTCCGTCCCGCGTTCATAGATGGAGACACCGATGATCGCTTGTTACATAATCAACGAGTGGACATGTACTAGGTCAGTCTCGCATTGCTGATATTCACTATTCAGTATTCATTGTAATATTTTACATTTACATGTTAATTTAGAATATTTTAAGAATAATTTTTTTGAAGAAGACATTTAATCTGTATTATTATATTATATAGCCAAATTAAATAAAATGTCTACAATATTCTATATTAAAATGCCTTCTGTTTTTGTATAGAATTTATAGTTTAAACGGTAACGGTAATACTGGTTAAAGAGGCACTACCGATTATCCTGTCTGGTCATGTGCCTGACACATGGACTTTATTCAGTCAGTATTAATATGGTAAAAAGCCAACAATTTCCCGTTAACTTCCCATCAATAGGCCATTAATTGCTAATATATTTATTTCTAGACATTAAAGGGAAAATGGAGGCCTATTAACTGGATTTAATGGCTAAGTGACTTCGGCCGCAGTGACCTATATATAAATGGCCATCATTATAATTGGAGGGTAACAGTTATTGGGCCTTTTATTACCCTGCACAAAATGTTTGCTGGGTATCACAGAAACAAATGAGCTTTGCTTGATTAAAACATTACTTGAAAGTTTTCCAGCTCTACCAAGATGGCAGCAAAAGTTCTATTTTTGAAGACTTTGTCATCGAGCGCTCCATAGCTGGTGCATCTGCAGCAAAGTATTTCCATCTTCTACAAGGTAAGAGTTAACGATAAATTTAGCCTTGTGCAAATATGCACAAAATAAAACATTACTGGGTCCCTTAGTATATAGACTCGATGACAGTTGTTTAAATTAACGATGACAT